TCGCCTAAATTCAGTACGTTCAATTACCCACCATAGACTCCAGTCAGTCAAAATGACTATTCTGAACTGTAGGCAGACAGACATCGATAGGTGGCGGGTTTTCCCGAGCAAACAGAAAAAAATGATGAAAGTCTTTTCCCAGTCCGGGATGAAAACAAACTCAACACCCTAGTTAAGACCCAAAAAAGGGTCGTGTCTTACCTTGCCTGTGCTGTCCCCGGAGCAAAGAGCCAAAATTCTGGGGGGTAGTAAGCTTTCGGAGTAAAGACCGAAACAGTTCTGCATGAGGGCATAGGCCGTAAAGCGGGACCTGGAAGCTCCCAGGGGAGTGCTGATGGTAGAGAAATCTGTCCGCATAAAATGCCGGACTGACTTATTGCCTATGCGCAGGGGCCCTAGAGGTCGTTCAGGCTGGGTCAGCAAACCAAGACTGACCCGCTACGACGGGACCCAACCTAGAGAGAACCTTATCAATGGATTCGATGTCTCTTAGATGGTAGTTGATAAAGACGTTCTGTGTTCTCCAGAAGCCTGCCCTCCATGTGTGCTCGGGGGGGGGGGGGCTGACGCTAGCACTAGCGAGTTAGCCATCGCACAGACTTCATGCGCTCGTACTTGGTGTCTCTGCAAGCTCTGTGTCGAGGAATATAAAGTATTAGACCTCTAATACAGTCGCAGTAAACCACCTGGTTATGGAAGTTGGGGAGGCCGGCCTATCCTGCCTGCCTGGGCCATAACACAAAGATGTGTGCATGGCACCCCGTTCCAAATCCTAGTACGGTTTGGTGGCAATTACGTGCTCGAACCGGGTAGAGAAGCAATTCCTCCTGACCCTCCGGGCAGACAAAATTTGACAGCTGAGGGATGACGATCAGGTGAGGATCGTGTCCTGGGATTTGGTTCTAGACGAGAAACCTGATTCATGTCTTTAGCACAACTTGATTGTCCATAACAGCGGTACATCATCCGAGGACAATGGCCCCAGCTCTGGCCGACGCCTACCTGAGGCGAGGGCCAGTAGGAAGACTATTTTCCATGTCATCAAAACTTTGAGTGGTGCTGATCGGAGAGGCTCAAAGGGCGGTCTGCTTAGAGCGGACAACACAGCCGACAAGTCCCAGTTGGGCGGTTCCCATGTATGGGGTCTCAGCGTCTGGAAAGCAGTAAATAGTCTTCTAACAATTGGACAATCGGTTAGTCTTGTTCCCGTACGTTTGAATGGTGGGGGACAAGGCCGACCTGTAGCCAACAATCACTGCGTAGGACAAACCCACTTCGTCAAACAGGTGGACGAAGAAGCCTGCTACCTGGCCAATAGAGGGATGGTATCAATCAATCTCCCTTCCGCTACACTAACCAGTGTATGCTCGCAGCCTAGAAATGTAGGCTGCATTGGTGGAATCCCTGTTCGCCCTGGCCAGGATGTTACGTACATACGTGTTCCGGGGTGCGGCAAACCGGTCTAACCTTGGACCGTCCACAGCCGAAACAGCCTGGAGGCTACTCACTGGGGTATCAGTCACTCCGTGTTCTGGAGACGAAGTCGCCCTGAAAGGGCGTCACCAGACTGCTCCTCACCCCTGGAAGGTGGTGTGCGGTTAGCTCCACATTGTGTCGATTTACTAATGAGTCCAACTGGTTAAGTAAAGCCTGTGTTAGACTGACGCGTTTGGGTATTAACCCCTTGCCCGGGTTGTTGGTAACCAGTAGTCTAGGTACGGATTGAGGTGTACCAACATCTGGTGAAGCAGCAGCACTACCTGTTTCATCACTCTGGTGAACACATAGGGCGCTGTGCCTAACCCGAATGGGGGGGGGGGGCACCCGAACTTTGAATACTTGGCCCAGCCGGGCGATTCAAAGGAAATGGCAACTGGCTGGGTGCATCGGTATGTGCAGGTAGGCCCCGCTTAAGTCTAGTGGGCCAGTCAAAACGTGGATGAGAGAAGAACCTGAATGGTGTCTCCATGTGAACCGATCGAGGAGCACATACTGATTCAGTCTGCTAGGTCCAGAACTGGACGCTGCCACTTGAAGATTTGGTACTACGAACACATTTGGATAGAAGTCTGGACTTAGTTCCGGCTGATGTACCCTGTGTATGAAGTCTTTTCCCAGCAAACTGCTACTTCCTGTCTGATTGCTTCCACCTTGCGGGAATCCCCTGGCAGTGCCCAACAGGGGAGACATTGACGGGGGAAATGGAGATTTCAGCGGTATCCCGTAACAGGATGTCATCACCTGGAAAGGTCCAGGGATTGGTCACCCACTGTCTCCAAACTGGACTACACCGGCACAATCTGTGTACGACAGGGATATGCGGCCATGGGTTCGGCAGTTGTGAGGGGGGGGTGCTCTCTTCTCCCATGAGGTGAGTTCCCCAAGGCCTGAAGTAGTCACTAAGTTGTGACCTGGCCACCCGCCGAACACATGCCTGTCCCCCCAGTTGAAGAGGTGAGCGTCAAACACGCTTCCCCTACTGCCGGGGTAGACGTCCGCCCAGGGAGGGTGAGGAGCCACCACCTAGCTATTTCCTCCCTGGGGGTGCGCCACTACTCTTCCCTCCCATGGAAGGGTATGAGCGCTTGCCTCCTGGCTTGCCTTTCTGTGCTTTGGGTGCCCTCCGACTGCCCTTTGCAGGGCCAACTGGCTAGCGAATTCGATCTGAACCCTCTGGTTCATTGCACTCTGAAGCTCCGAGACTGTACCCACCATTCCCTGAACAAAGAGGGTGGAAGATGTCCAGTCTGCGTCACTGAGGTGGGGACGTACCCCCCCCCCCCCGCCCGACTCAGGTTGTCGGTGAAAACATGTGCGTCTAAGGCCGCGTCTCGTAGCACAGTAGTGGCTCTGGCCAAGAGAGCCAGGTGACACTAGGGGGTGTCGCACGTAGATGTGCGGTGGCCCACCAGAAATGTGTCGCCTGGTCTAGGAGGCTGGTGCGTTCTGCCTCTGAGGTCTCCAGAGTCCTGGGCGCTGTCGCATACGACATATGTACCACTTCCGTGTCACTGAGAATGTTCTAGAACCGTACTGTGTCTGGGTGGAATATTCTAGATTTTGTTTAGAAACTGGTTTAATAGGTAATAGAACACTGTAGGAGGCAATAGAAGGTAATGGAACATTCTAGAAATTGGTAGTAAGTTCCAGACTCATTATGTATGCTGATGTAATGGTCTATTTATAGACAGTGTGGGTATATATAGGGGAGTTGTTCAGCACTGAGTTCAGATCGGAGATCTCGTTGAATTATATTTTGGAGTTTAAGTATCTAGTTATTGGAGTAGTGGAGTTTTACCGCGTTATTGTACTTGATGTTTGCAGAGTATAATAATACCAGTACCAGTTGAAACCTCATCTGTTGGCTCCGTGTTCGTATTTTATCATCGCCGCCAGGGAAGTCTTTCTGTTACTGTTGCCATTTTGGTATTTGAACCATCACACCTGTACTATACCAATTATGGTAATATTAAATTGCGTGTGACAGGTGCACACAATAATGCGCTCAAGCAACTCTGCCCTCAGGGCTGGATGGGTCGTCTTCCGATTGGCAAGAACGCCCATGGAACGCGGCTGTCCCCTTTTGCCCGGTTTGCCAAACGGAAATTCGTTGTACCGGGGACTGGGGAAGGAGCCTTGGAATCTGGTTGGAGGCGTTTTGGTCTCACCCACGCTATGGGGTCTGATCCCGAAACCACACCAACCGGGTAGCGTTTGGTCCAGCGGGAAGTGTTGGCTAATGTCTTCCCCATCCGGGGGCCTTAAGCGTTACATCCTCCGCGGCTGACCAACGTCCGCCCATGAACACCGTTTGCGTGCTCTGCGCCCCACTCCGCACTCGGACGGATAGGGAGATCCGTGCCAACAGGGTTGCTTTGGATCCCAATGCCTGTGATCCCATAAGCGTTGAAGCAACCATAACCATAGGTGGTCGCCTTAGGATCAAGGGTGGGTGTATTTACATCGTATCACTGGGATCGATGATACTCCGTATCACCCCAAAAGCGCGGCTCACCGAGTCATTACGAATGGAAGACTCTGAGGGACCGCCCGGAGTACCGGCTGTATCCGACACTAGCAAACTGTATTTCCTTTCACTTTAAATATGTGAGAGGGAGCGTGTTCGACTGTGCGTCTCATGACAGGGTCGGTTCCTTCTGGGGACGCCCGCGGGTTGGTAAGAAGGGAGTGAAAACTCACAGCGAAGATCCGACACAAGGATAAATTCGTTACCGTTGTCCCGTTACCGCGTGACAAACCATAGCTGGCTGAAAGTAGGGGGGTCAACGTGTGCCCTGCCCTGAAACCCCTGCCCCGAGATCGGAGGCTTGGCTGCCAGCACCCCGTTGGCATTCAGTGCCCAAGGCTGCAGAGGAGGCCTGGTGCAATTAGCCTGAGCCTCGGCCTCACCCAAAAATTAGTGGGAGAGCCGTGGCTGGGAACAGGGGTTCCCCGGAAGAGACGTATTTGAATGCAAACATGCTTTCAAGTTTCTTCCTGCTTGCCCACCGAGGGACCGCAGTGGAGACAGCTCGCTCCGACTGCGTCTGACCTACCCGGCCTGCCAGGGAAAAATATCGGTACCCGTCGAGCCTCTTACTCGACGTCCCGGTACATGAAGTACCGGTAGCCGAGCGTGAGGACTTTCCACTCATGCCAAACATACAACTCACTTTAACCAATTTGTTTACTGGACACGCGACCTTGCTGTGACGCGGTCAGTCTCAGCGATTTTGATGGCTCTGAACGAAAATCTCAGGCCTCAGAACTGTGAAAAACACACACCTTCACGCAGAAACCCCGAACCCCGCACGCAGCTACGACAAAGTATCTCGGATGCATGTTCTATGCTGGTAAATTCTGAATATAACCACTGCACAGTCGACTCGAAACATGAGGAGACCAAAAAGAAAACGGCGAGAAAAGACTGGCAGGCATGGGAATTGAACCCAGGTCCTCCTGATCACTGTGTAGACAACTGACCCACAAGACCAAATTGGGTTGACTGGATGTGTTTGCTTTTGATAAGACTATATAGTGTGTATATATATAGAAATACAACATATTTCTATTATTGAGTTACAATTGTCCACAAAATTGCCAATTTTGTGTTTTTACTTGTGTAAACTAAATGCATGCCATAACCCGTTAGTGTACATCTTGCCAATTGGGTGTTTGCCATTTGCGTTGCCCATACCTGACCCGACCCTAACCCTAATGCCAAGACACATTCCTGTTAATAATTCTGTTGCCCATACCTGACCTAACCCTAATGCCAAGACACGTTCCTATTAATAATTCCGTTGCCCATACCTGACTCGACCCTAACCCTAATGCCAAGACACATTCCTGTTAATAATTGCTCAATAATGATACTCTGTTGTGCACTGTCTGCGGGTAAGTTGCATTGATGTCAACTGATTAAACAAGTCGTGTTTAAGTAATTTCCACTATTAACAAGTGGTTAAATTGTGACAATAAATATGTGGACAAATGTTTGAGATTTATTTTGGCGTAGACAACTCTCGTTTAATTACTTTACACCATTACAAGTTGTTAAATTGAGAGAATAAATGTGCAGACAAATATTTGAGACTTATTTTGGTGTAGACAGCTCTCGTTTCATTATTTTACACCATTACAAGTCGTTAAATTGAGAGAATAAATGTATGGACTAATATTTGAGACTTATTTTGATGTAAACAAGTCGTGTTTGATTAATTCCCACAATTACAAGTTGTTAAATTGAGAGAATAAATGTCTGGACAAATATTTGAAACTTATTTTGGTGTAGACAACTCTCATTTAATAATTTTACACCATTACAAGTTGTTAAATTGAGAGAATAAATGTGTGGACAAATATTTGAGACTTATTTTGGTGTAAACAACTCTCATTTAATAATTTTACACCATTACATGTTGTTAAATTGCGAGAATACATGTGTGGACAAATATTTGAGACTTATTTTGATGTAGATAACTTTCATTTAACAATTTTACACCATTATAAGTTGTTAAATTGAGAGAATAAATGTGTGGACAAGTATTTGAAACTTATTTTGGTGTAGACAACTCTCGTTTGATTAATTCCAACAATTACAAGTTCTTAAATTGAGAGAATGAATGTATGGACAAATATTGACCATTATATTTGTGAGTAAATACCTGTAGTTTAATTAATTTCCACCTCTACAAGGTTGTTAAATTGAGAGAATAAATGTGTGGACAAATATTTGATACTTATTTAGGTGTAAGAACTCGTGTTTGACCAACTTCCATCATTGCAAGTTGTTAAAATAATGAAATAAATATACTGGTATCATTGGATATTTAATTTAATTGTGAAACTTTCTAACAAAATGTTAACTGCTGACTTCGAACCCTCAATCAACAATTCTGCAGACACAGTATAAATTCCACAACACCACAGAAGATATTTGTCTGTTGCCTGAATTGTTTTTGTAATATAGGGAACGCCATCGACGCTTTAACAAAACTTACCTTGACTTGGGTCTTGTTTATCTCTTGTGACAATCTGGAAATTGTGCATCGTCCAGTTTAAGACACAAGTTATTTTATTATTTATTCATTCAGTTTTGCATGGTGGAGTTTTGTGAGGTTTATTATTTTTTCGCGACGTTCTTTGTTTACTTGTTACGGTTTGAGGGATTTCAGTTTATTTGATTTACGTTTTTACGGTAGCTCTGAGCGGGACTCGAACCCACCGTCTTTTCAAGATAATTTTGTTTTATTTTGATGGCACGCTTGTTTACCACGCCACGACGTTGGTCGTTAAGTGGTGTTCATTTTTCTAACTACTCCAGTGTTCCGATGAGTTGAACGGAAAAGCCAAAACGATTGCTGGTTTCTGATTGCTTCGGTTCGGGTGAGTGTGTATTTAGTGTGATTCAAACCCATGTCGTTTGTATTGGGCATTTTTTTATTTCCCATGTTGGCTACGCCGTAATATGCAACCACTTCCCTGTTTTATTGTGATTTTGTGAGTGTTTAATGATGTCTTCCTCACTCGTCACGCCATGACCCAGTTTCAACCACACGGCCATTTTGCAACAAAGTGCGTGACCCTCGGCATGACCCGACTGACTTGGATTTATTACCATTATTATCATCATATTGTCACGTGATTTGTTTTACCTTATGTGTAATGTCTTAAGTATCTTTATTGTAATTTGTATATACCAATTCGTATATACCGAAGAAACAACCCCGATTGAAGGTCAGGTATTTTATGACGTCACCAATTCGTGTGTAGGTACGGCTTCTAGAACCATGCCTAGGAAGTTTATGATCAGAGATTCTGAACTGACATAAGGGTTGTCTCAGTTTAACATTACTCATTGTTATTAAATATTTTTTTCCATTTTAAACATTGATATGAACAGAGCCCTCTGTCATCTCTACAGCTGAGAAATTGAAATAAAATATTCTCATGCTTCGAACATCCATGAAAATAATCTCTGTCATCTCTACAGCTGAAAAATTAAAATAAAATATTCTCATGTTTCGAACAGCCATGAAAATAATAATAGTTTTCAAGAAGTCGAAAATAGAATTGTTGGCGCGGACGACGATGGACAATCACCATTACGAAGACTGAGTAGCTTCACTCTGTCATCTCTACTGCTAAAAGATTAAAATAAAATATTCCCGGGGTCCGAACATTCGTGAAAATAATATTCCGTGGACTTCATTATACAGTCTTGTATTTTCATAAAAGTGCCATATTTTAAGGTAAAATGAATTGGGGTCAATGCGCTAGTAATCTGAACCTGGGTGTTGTACTGGTCGCAGCAAGATGCACCTTTCGTGTCATGCACTTTCGTCGACACAGGAAAAGAGCCCGCCCAGACGTTTTGAATAAAATGTGTATAGTCTAAACAAAGTAGCCTACTCACAGAGTTTAACTGACTTCAGTGTCTCTTCCTGGGAGCTGACATTCGTCTCCGCCATGACTGACTATGTTGCCGATCGACTGACTATGTAGGTATCTTGATGCACTCAATTTCATATGATCAAGGATCAAATCGTCGATTCTACTTGGTGGCGCCCTTTGTTTCAAAACAAACAATAAGGGCACGACCATTAAAAAATCCTGGGGGTTGGCATGAACATTTTGGGAAAAACAAATTCAACCACGATAAATTTGCTACAAATTGAAAATGTTTTTTGTTTTGTTTTTGGAAAAAACAAATTTAATCTACCAAAATGTCAAAATTTAATATTTCCTCTTATCCAAAGGTCAAACAACAATTTTAATGTTTATGAAGTTTCCATTTATACTCCATAATAGAAGGTAATTGTATTATATGCAGAGGGCTGCCAAGAGGTATTTTCGTAAGCTGTAATCAAATATTTTTATTTTTGTAATAATGTAATTTAAATTGAGAGAATAAAAAACGTAAATTCGTAGATATGGCAAGGTGTAAAATGTAAACAGTTATTTTATTCTTCCGTAATTTGTACAAAGATCTTATTGTGTATAAAGCATTTTCCAAATTAAATGTCGTACGCAATTTTAAATTTTGATTCTTAAACACAAATTATCACAAATATTATAAAAATGTAATTAGGAATTTGCTTTATCTGTAAAGTGTAAGAACTTATTTTTTACTGTAAATGAAACTTTTATTTTATTTCTTGTAAAAACGTAAAATGCCGTTTTTATTTCCTGTAACCTGAATCAGCTATCTCCCCTATGCCCCGACCCCTATGTATGTAACCAGAGTATGATGGAAACTTTCGTAGTGTATTGCTTAACACCTTCACAATTTTATAACTACCCCATAAACATGTTTTAAAGTGATGCATCGAACAACTACTATTTTTTTTTGAATTCAGTATTAAATGTTTGAGTATTCAGTGGATAGACTGATAAAAAAAGTAACGTTAAAGTGGAAGCATGCAATAATAAGATTACGGCACTGTCACTTAAATTAAATTTAGGAGTTAAATTTGTCAGGTGTTCTTGGGTACATAGCTAAATATTCATCAATGATATATACAAGCATTCTGAGCTCACATAAATGAGGAGAAAATGATTTCGCAGTATATGGCAACCATAAAAAATATTATATAAACGTACCTATCACATATAACGTATAAATGGAAATAAAAGAAATCATTGCCAATGACCTCTCCGTTCAGCTTTTTTTAGTGACTGTGTCAATTACTGTAAAAAACAATGAAAGAATAAATTAATTAATTAAATGTTGGTTTAGTAATGAGCATATAAAAAATATGGTGTTACTTCAAATAGCACCTTATTCTGATTTTCTTCATTTAAAGCGAAATCTCATGGAAATAAGATTCTCACATCTGACAAAATTGAAAAATCCACACATAATTCCCTCCTATAACAACACTAGACAATAGTAGTCCATGACACTCATGTTGTGCCTTGAAAGTTGTCCTCTGTGATCATTCATAAAGCTTTGAGATATTGTGTTTATTGTGTGAAATATTTGATAGTCTGATACTATGTAATAAGCATTTAAAGTTCATTTCATTTCAGTATTTTAATATTTTGTTATATTTCCCATTTGATTGTTTATTTGTTAACACTTACTGCTCCATCATACATGAATTCAAAATAATGTGAGCGAATGCAACCAAATCAGCAACAAATTCCCCCAATTTCAAGTGCACAAGTTCCAGTACCCCAATGCCCTCAAAGTGCAACAATAGGATAGAGATTTGTGTAAGTGAAATTAAGTAAAACTCTAGTTCTAGTTGAGACTTATGAAGTTGAAACAGAATGCTTAGTTGAACTGCTACTCCAAGTTCTCATGCACATCTTGCAATAACATGGGATAGAAACACACACAAATTCTTATTATGATAATGATCAATTTTAATTGTTTTAATATATTCGATGCCCTTTTACCCTCAAAGAAAAGTAAAATTACAAATAATTACACTTACAGGTGGAATCAATGTTTATAAAAACTTTACTGATTTTTTTCATTTTTTTACAGTTAAAATATGAATGAGTAGCGAAATTAAAAAATATACCTTTTCATGCATGTTTTAATGTTATTGGATGAGCGCCACCTACAGGTGAAACTAACAACTAACTAGAGGGCACTAAACTCAAAGGTAATACAATAGTAAAAAAAAAGTACAGAAAAGACAAATACCAGCATTATATAATAAATTGTGCTCTGTAGGATAAGAATTTTTATTTTGTGAGAATACCTTACAAACTAAACAGTAAAATACAAATAAAGTGAATGCCAAGCAGTGTTCCATATCAAATAAAGTTACTATCGTCAACAGTGTTTAAAAAAACAAATTTAAAAAAACACAAGACAAATGAGCTAAATCAGCAATGGAAATGAACCAATTTTAAATTACAATCAACAATAAACTACTAATAATAAGTTTGAATTATTAAAATTACCGACTTAAAATATAATTTACCTATTATATATGTTTGCATGCTGAGAGAACAATATTCAAATTACTCTGATTTCCTGATCAATCACTTGATCTGTTTGAATACACTAGATCTTTGAATAGATCACTGTCCCAAACTCTGTGTGTCTGATGAAACTTTTAAAGACAGAGGTGAAATATTCGTAGTGACATCATCATTCTCTGCAGAGCAAAGACCAATTAGAAGATAATTATGCTAATTACATAATTATGCTAATCAAGTAAACAAGAAAAAGTGTTGTTGTACCGGACAACACTGAACTGACTGACTAATTAATTAATTATTCCTTGTGAATAAATTTCAGTTTTTACAAAAATCACTGAAACAATGATTATTTTCACAGTATGTTGAGTTTCCAAAATATCTACCTAGTCACTATGTTACCATAGAAACTGTTGGTGAAAATGTTTATTAAATGAATTGGTTGACAAAAAAATGTTCTGACTAGGTCTTTGGAAGTAGGCAATACTACGATATAATAATAAAACTAATATAATATTTCAGGTTTTTTAATAAAATCACAAACTCAGAGAGTTCTTCGCCATAAAAATTCGTCTGTCTTGGTAGACACTACAATAGTGACTTTAGGTATCTGCAATAAACAAAAAAACATCAAATAAATAATCAACAATAGATTTAGCTGCATTTGAAAATACTGAAAGTGAAACAATATGTTGCTCTTAAAATTTATAAAATTTAACTTTTCACCACTAGTTTCTTCTTTTCATCGCAAATTCATAAAATAGCCAATTTTTTTGAGTAAAACTGAAAATTGACTCAATTTTTTTTCTGTTGGCTCAAAATTAGGGTTTATTCCCAGAAATATTGAAGATTATACGAAACAAGTGCAGAAAATTTGGACGAGAAAGTCTAGTGATGAAAAAGTTAAAAACACAACATTTTCTAGCAGCGAAAATGTATTTAGAGTTCTCTTGACAAGGAATTTAGTTACCAATTTTTCATGATTTTTGACACGACACGACACGACATGAAAGGAACAAATTTTAGTGATTCATTGTGTAAGTTTGCATTTTCTTGTCTAATGAATTTTGGTAAGGGTGAATAAACCATGTGTGAATGAAGCAGACTGTGGTACCTGGGACAACACATGCATTAATATATTATAATTTATTCGCTGGCATGAACTTTGCTATGCAAGCTGGTACTAGGTTACTATAATCATAAGACATCTGTGGCAACATATATACCAGCAAACCAGTTCTCCATGCAAGTCATCTCTAAATGCGATATATTTAGATGTACGAAAACAGAATACATGTATGTTGGTCTCCATAAAATATATATTGACATGGCTGGAATTTGCATAATTGCAAAATTTTAAAATCTACTACACAGAGTGAAGGATCTAACCTTGAAATATTTATGTTGTTTTTTGTAGGCAATGACAAATATAGACATTGTTACACAAATATGTACATGGCATTTGATGCATTGTGCAGTAAATATTAACACAATTTCTTTTTACAATAAAAAATGTTGTGTCATCATAGTTGAGTTTGTTGAGGTTATAAATGACTGATTCAACAAACAAACAAACCAAGTCAACATGTATAATGGCTTTTGTAATTACCTGTACCTGGTAAACATTCCTTATTACAGGTAATCACTAAATGTCTTGACTAACAACAATTTCTGACAATTAAGTCATAAAAGAGGCAATTTATTATCATAATGCCAAATACTTTACATGACCCCAAATACTGTTGTTTTCAATTAAACATGTCTTTTTAAATAGCATGCTATTTTGGCTAATTTAGCTAATCTGTAATTTCGCTAATTCAAGATATCACTAATTCAAAATAAAGTATATTCTCACAATGAGATTGTTGACACCTTAGCTAAATTAAGATTCAGTTAATTCATGCATGGAGTCAAATTTACTAAAATAGCATGTAGCTATTTAAACATGTTTTACAGTAGGTCACTGGTACTTAGCATGACCCTGAATGGGTCACACATCCTGGTACTTAGCATGACCCTGAATAGGTCACACATCCTGGTGCTTTGCATGACCCTGAATAGGTCACACATCCTGGTATTTTGCATGACCCTGAATAGGTCACACATCCTGGTATTTTGCATGACCCTGAATAGGTCACACATCCTGGTACTTTGCATGACCCTGAATAGGTCACACATCCTGGTACTTTGCATGACCCTGAATAGGTCGCACATCCTGGTATTTTGCATGACCCTGAATAGGTCACACATCCTGGTATTTTGCATGACCCTGAATAGGTCACACATCCTGGTACTTTGCATGACCCTGAATAGGTCACACATCCTGGTGCTTTGCATGACCTTGAATAAGTCGCACATCCCGGTGCTTTGCATGACCCTGAATAGGTCACACATTCTGGCGCTTTTTGGGATATTTCCTATCTGTGACAATTTTCTCAAAGGACGGTGGACGCAGTGTTCTCTTTCATATGGGACTCATTGCGTCGTATACAACGCATGTAAAATACACCCAGATAGTGGCAGGATGTGTGGCATTTAGGGACAATGCATAAGGTCTAATAAGTGCTGTTACACAACACACCCAGATAGTGGCAGGATGTGTGACATTTAGGGACAATGCATAAGGTCTAATAAGTGCTGTTACACAACACACCCAGATAGTGGCAGGATGTGTGACATTTAGGGACAATGCATAAGGTCTAATAAGTGCTGTTACACAACACACCCAGATAGTGGCAGGATGTGTGACATTTAGGGACAATGCATAAGGTCTAATAAGTGCTGTTACACAACACACCCAGATAGGGGCAGGATGTGTGACATTTAGGGACAATGCATAAGGTCTAATAAGTGCTGTTACACAACACACCCAGATAGTGGCAGGATGTGTGACATTTAGGGACAATGCGTATAAGGTCTAATAAGTGCTGTTACACAACACACCCAGATAGTGGCAGGATGTGTGACATTTAGGGACAATGCATATAAGGTCTAATAAGTGCTGTTACACAACACACCCAGATAGTGGCAAGATGTGTGACATTTAGGGACAATGCATAAGGTCTAATAAGTGCTGTTACACAACACACCCAGATAGTGGCAGGATGTGTGACATTTAGGGACAATGCATAAGGTCTAATAAGTGCTGTTACACAACATACCCAGATAGTGGCAGGATGTGTGACATTTAGGGACAATGCATAAGGTCTAATAAGTGCTGTTACACAACACACCCAGATAGTGGCAAGATGTGTGACATTTAGGGACAATGCATAAGGTCTAATAAGTGACTGAATAATATTTTCCTTTCAATGACAAATGAAAAAGTTTGGAATTTAAAATAATGGAATTTTGAATTTTAATTCTACACATTAAAATGAAGTAATAATAAAAACAATCTTACTCATAGAATGCACAAAGTTACAGCTTCCAAGCAGTTCTCATCATCAGTATGAAGTAACTATCCTCATCAATGGAAGCGCTAACACCGCTGTAGTAATTTTGAAATTCCTCTTTTGTCACCTGAAATTAGAAATAAAATTCATAAAAAAAAATTGTTTCATTAAGTAATTGAAATATAATATAATATTTCAATTCTGAACAAAAATATAATAATATACAGTGATGACACTATGAATACTAATGTGCTTATACATATTTATCAGAGGTTAATGGGCTGTGATGATGGCGTTATTGAAGATATGAATTATTAATGTTTTATTTTATGGACAAATTGTGAATACAATAATTTTCAGATTATATCACTTCGTCATTCTTAAACTAAGTGAAAGTACTGTGAATTATTATCAAATCAACGAAAAAGGAAATCAATGTTGCTATATTTTTTCTTCATCATTTGCAATAACACAAACAATAAATAACAGCATGGCAGTTTACAGAATTCAATGAAAGTATGAAATATTGGATTAAGCGACTCTTGTAATTGTTAAAATGAAATTACTACAATAAAAATTATGTAATATTTATGTACTGGGAGTCAGACATGTGACCTCAGATTGCAAGTTTATTCAGTCCGTAATACATGTATACATTTTGTAGATCATGTGACCCAGGTCACTCCATTACATTCTAAAATGCCAGCTGCATTACCCAATTGACACATACAGGTAAGAAAATCAAATCATCTTTTTTTGGTTTTTCTCATTTTTGTTTATTTTGTTATCTTCCTAACAAAGCTGTTGTTACTTGATCATTCTCTTTATCAAGACCCCACATTGGGATACGGTTTCAATAAAGTTTATTTTTATTTCACATGTAGCTAAATATATGCACGACCCCTAAAGGTCACACATAAAACACTGTCCAGGGATACTGCAACAGTAATATTTATAGTCAAACAGTTGCAATATTTTTTTTCAAAAATATTGAGAAATTAATTAATTATTATTAATTTCTCAATATTTTTGATATAATATAATTAATTCTCCCAGAAGATACCAGAATATGGTCATACATTAAGCTTATTTGAAATAAATCATATTCAGACAAGTTTTAATTCATCATCAGTTCCGGTGAATTTCTCCAAACCATCACTTATTGCCAGCTGCACACATCTATGACATATCTCAATATTTCATAATTCAACTTCGTTTCTAATATTTTAATGTATTTTTACATTGTTTTCCCATCTATCTAATTTGTTTTTTTTATTTTCAATTTTTCTAATTCCATGTATTTTTATATTGTATTATATTATATCATATCATATAGTATCATATATTATATTATATATTATATTATAGACAATAATTAAAAAACATAATATTCAAAACTCAACAATTACCATAATTTATATAATTTGTATGTTGTTGCTAAAAATATTTTACAAAAAACTGTGAATTTGTTAATTGTTTCAGGATATCAACCATTAACGTTAATTATTGATGACTGGTGATAATGTTAATTACTAGTATGATAATGAATCTTACCTTGCCATCTTTCTCATTTGGAGAGTCAAAGTTATTGAGAAATATAGCAAACACCTGGTCTCTAGACCATTCACCATTGATATATTTTGGGTGTTTACTGACATCATAAACACCTTTCAGATCATCGACAGTAATGACACCATCTCCTGTTTTATCCATTTTACAGAATGCCTTGTCAATGATATCTATTCTAGACTGTGACATAGCTGGCTATAAACAAAATAATAAATCAAATTAAAGAAAAAATAGAGAGTTGATCCCATGTAAATCTAGCTAGCATGTTATTTTAGCAAATTTGGCTAATCTGTAATTTCGCTAATTCAAAATGCAGCTAATTTAAGATAAAGTCTATTCTCACAGGGAGATAGTCAACACTTCAGCTAAATTAAGATTCTGTTAATTCATGCCAAGAGTCAAATCCACTAAAATTGCATGCAGCTATTTCAACATGGTCTACAGTAATCTGAAGGTTTGATGTTAGAGTGAAAGTGTTTCTGTAGGTGTCTTCAAATGTTGGCATATTTGGTCTATTAGAAGCATTGCACTTAAACCAAACTGTATTTAATGTGTGCTGGATCATTGACTTATGATTTGGTTTGAGCATTGACACGCTGCTGTCATTAGATACTGTAAAATAGTTTATTTTAGCTAGAATTAATTTTCACTGAAACAACTTTATTTTGGTGTTTTGTATGGAATATATTTTCACTGATTTTTGTTGAGTTGAATGTAAAATATAGGAAAAAAGGTAAATTCACTGGAATTTATTTTCACTGAATCATTCCTTCAGTGAAAATACAGTATTTTACATCAAATACATGCACAAGCTACAACAGTCATCATATCATACTGTTTCAACACCAAAACGCAAAACATTGCCAGCTGAATGTTTGGCTGTATGCATCTTGAGTTCAATTACTAGGTTATGTTGTACTGTAACTAAATTTACAAAAATGTGTCTCGCATGAAATGAAATCATTTTCATCATCATAGACAGATTTAAATCAAAATTGTTGTTAATTTCTGCTTATAACTTACACGAATGGTCAACAGAAACTCATTAAAATCAATTGTTCCATTTCCATCTTTATCAAATCTTCTAAAGACTTCATTAATTTCTCCCTCTGTTAGTTGCAAGCCATAATCATGGATACCTTTCTTGAATTCCTCCATATTCAATGTTTTACTACGATCATCATCCATGATTCGGAAAACTCTGAGAAAATAGAATTAGTGAATAGCATCAAGTCATAATAAAGAACGATCAGTATGCACGCAGTTTCATTTTCGCTGTTTACACTGTTATTTGTGTAAATGAAACATGGTCATTAATAGAATTGATTCTAAACTAAGAACTTACAAACTTTTCAAGAACAAGACACATTAAATTATAACATTGAAATATGACATGGCTAAAACTTATAACATGGCTAAAATGAGACTTATGCATATACTGTAGACTTTAAATTGTACAAGGCTGACATCACAGGCCAAAACTTACTGCAAATAATAGGTGATTTTCCATTCACGGCAAGATCTTGTATGTCCTGTTTTTAACGTTTGATTTTACACGTAACACAGATTTTTGCAGTGAAAGGGAAATGTTCTATTAGAATGTGAATTTAAATACATTGTACATAACTTTACTTAATCTTTTCTTTGAAAATTTTGAATTAACAAACAACCTGACAGTCAAAACAGCTCTGCTGTCTCAGCAATCATAAGACTCAGACTAATAATGATTAGCTCAGATTAGCAAGCCTAAGGACTGCCAAAATGTTTTGTTTGTTGACTAAACAAGATTCAAATTTTGGTTAGCAGTTACACAGTCAAATTGCTATTATTTAGACTAGCCTAGAGTGCCCTCTTTTCTTTAGAATGTACATTTGTTACATCAGAAGTGTCCAACATGGCAGACCTCAATGTGCCCCACCCATCGTGTTTTCTTTATTTATGTAGCAGATCTCAACAAAGATGTAGTTTATCTTATCTTTTATGGTCTATGATAACAGCCACAATAATGGTTTCTTACAAGAATTATGAATATGTTTACATCACTTTCTGGGTGAAAAAGATATTGAAGTAACTTGAGTTTGAGTGGCTGTTAGAATACTGTTAGGGTGGGTTCACATATACCATGTAAGTATTTGCAGTAAACTAAAGGGCATCATGAATTTACAGTAAGCTAATTGGCTCAATTGATAATTGACATACTGGTAACTTCGTGGTGGTACACTGTACACAAACCTTTCCCACTCATTGACCTGTGCAAAGGTTGTTTAAACTACTTTAAATTTGTCTAAATACAAATCGTGAAATTTTGTGGCAGTAAAAATTCACTGGAGTGTTTACAGACATTCACAAAGACTTTTGAGAAACTTTATTCTTATTGGTACTATAAAAACATCAAAGCGCAAAATTTAGAAAGTTGGCAGTAGTTTTTATTTATTACGTTA